CCTAAATTTTATGTATTCAGATATAAATATTTTTTACCCCCCCTTTTTTTTTCTTTTTTTTTATATCACAACACAGAGATGTAGAGCCACGCACATATATCTCGATATAAAAAAAATAAAATGCGTCTCGCGCTGATGTGAGACACACATAACGCTCGCTTTTTTCTCTATTAAAGTGGCAAAACTCCGAAATATTTTATGTGTGTGTATATATATATATATATATATATATATATATATATATATATATATATATATATATATATATATATATATATATATATATATATATATATATATATATATATATTTTTTTTTTATTATTTAAAATTGGGTAAATTACAACCACCCGTGAGGAGGTACTGTATGTCAATATCCTCATGTTTGGGTAATTACAACCACCCATCAACTATAAATTTTTTTGTACATCCACACTTGCGGTTTCAAATTTAGTGGAATCGTCTAGATTATACGAAATATTCTCAATTTTGGACTCGTTTTACTCCATCGAGCTCCAAATTTTGAAGCTAGATGATCATAAGATGTATTTTTTGGCTTGTATATATCACATTGTGGTGCATCAGAAACTGTATTTTTGCACAAAACGAGTACAAACTAGAGAATATTCCACGAAATCTAGATGATTATGTTAAATTTGACACCATAAGGGTGGAGGTGTAAGAAAATTCATAGTTGAGGGGTAAATGTAATTATCCAAACACGATGATTTTTTTCGTAATTTGACTATATCCCGGAGGTGCTTGTAATTTACCCTTTAAAATTAGATTTCAAACCACTTACTTTTTTTCACCATTTTTTTTTCTAAGCACAATTTCATAGCAAAAATGCAGCAATATAGAGCAAAACAGCAGCAATATAGAGCAAAATCGCACGAATATAGAGCACAGTCGTAGGGAAAAACCTTGTAAGTAGTTCGATGTTGATTTTTGATAGATGAGAGAGAGAGTGGGGGAAGAGAGAGAAAGGAGAGGAGAAAGAGGCGGTACTTTTGATCGACGTGAAACGCAAAATATGGTTTGTCTTTATTTGAAAGGAAATTATAGTCGGGGGGTTTATAGCAAATTGCCCATTTTTCTTTTGCCAAAAAAAAAGGAGTGATAATTACCTAAAATTTAGAGCAAAATTTGACATTGAAAAACAATATAGCAAAACAAGCATCACAAAATAGGGAATGGAAAAAAGATCCACAATTCTTACATAAAAATGACAAGTAAGAAAGAAAAAAAAAAAAAAAAAAAAGAGTACAATGTAAGCGTTGCAAATCCGAGGTTTTTTTGTCTACAATCAGACAGTGTTAGTCATGGCGAGTTATAATTAATAGTCGCTCTTAACATTATCCGAAACCGAACTACTAACGAGGTCTATTATTAGACACGGGAACCGAGGCGAGTTGGTGAAATTGTTGAGCCATTAGGCTTTCGCCGCTCTTTGCACTTTGCTCCAGAAGCCGAACTAACGAGATAAATATTTCCATTCTCGTCACATCCCTATTTGCCTGTTGAAAAAAACAACTAGCTTATTTTTGCGAAATCGGGATGAAAACAAGAAATCATAAATAGCATAAATCGGAGATTCCGTTCCGATTTTCAGACGTACCTCTACGGCAAAACGTGCCCATATCTTGTCGTTCCGAGTCTCCATCACCCCCTTTAGAATAGTTAGCCCAAGTCCCCTAATTATATCTGCTATTTCCAAAAATAACCCTCTTTCTTCACACAGCATCTGCTCGTAAAACGAATAACCATGAGCAAATGAATATATATATATATATATATATATGGTTGCATATTACCTCAACGAGCATTTGTCGGGGCTGATTTAGATCCTCGACTATGATTGGACAAACCATCGATTGTGAACCAACTTCATAAGCCCATGTAGCTCCGCCTTCGAAATTGTCTTTTAACAACAAACCTCCGTCCTTGCTAATAATCTGAAACTTAAAACAAATAAACGTAAATAATACGATCGTAAATATTAAAATAAAATAAAATAGCAATAATCATTTAGCAACCTTGGACTCTCCGGTTTGCTTTAGCTTGTCCGCATGCTTCGTCACGCTTTGCAAGAAAATCATATGCTTGATAGTTCGTTCAAGTAGCGCATCAATACTACACTGTAAGAAAAAAAATAAGACACGTAAATATCAACAAAACAAATTACGAAATAACAGCCTTGAATGTAAAGATGGATGTATATACTATATATTATATATATCACCTTTGCTCCATTTGGCACGATTTCTCGTAATTCCTTAACACGATCTTGGATCATCTGACGATCTTTCGGCCTAGGCCTTGGATTTTCGCCAGGCTTAAGCCTCTTTCGATTCGTTTTGCTCGTTTCTTCAGGTTTCTTGGAATATCCATTAGTGGCAATACCGTTATTCTGTTTCACTTTCCGATCATCAGCCTGTGGGACCCACGAAGAACTTATTTGAGACGAAGATCCGTAAATAGAACTGCCCTGCGAATAACTTCCGGATTCTTCCTTCGAACAAGAACTCATCATTTTACCGTTTTTCGCCGAATATTTCGGAACGCCAAACAGCTCCCCTAATCTGGCATAGGGGATTGAAGTATCGGGTGCCGAGGAGGTGCTCGTGTTGGTCAAAGTTGTTCTGCAGGAAATGTCTTCGTCTATGCCCTGTTTGGCTGAGGGGGGGGCGTTGACTTTCGAGACCACAGCCTCCAAGAGATGGTCGGTGGTGAAAATAATCCCATTCTCCGAATTTTCTTGGCTGGTGGAGTATATTTCTGAACTCGTTTTAGACGGTAAATTGATCAAACCCCTTAAACGAGCTGCTACTACTGAATAATTTACTCTTGAAATCAGCTCCAAGAACATCGAACAAATCGTCTCCCGATTCAGTTTGGACGTACAAATCATTATCGTATTTCGTCCCACTTTGCGAAAAATCAGCTGTGAAATGGGCTAATGAATCGGAGTTATAAGCATCCATTTTCGGTATGGAATTTCGATTCTTGGATGAACTGCCCGAAGGAAAATCTAGAGTGGGCCCTTGAGTGTACAACGAAGCGTTTTGATTAGTCCATATTTCTGAATTCGAGGGGATAACTACTTCGGCTTTTGTTGCTAATTGATTTGAGGAAGGAAAATTCGAATTCACTAATGGAGAAACTTTGGATTCTTGTTGGTAATATTGAGGAACAATCCGACTCGGGTTCGAGTTTGAGGATTGAAATGGGGCCCCGTTTGAGTGAAGCTCGTTTTGGACATAGTTAAAGTCGTCGAGATATCCGAGCTGAAGTAGTAATGATATTACATCGTTTATAAATCCCATATTCTCCCTTATCTGAGACAATAAAACAAGAAACGAGATTCGCCTTAGTTGATTCACTTAAACAAAGATTCGAGCAAGATTCTGTCTGAAAATTCACTTACCGTCAAGAATGAACCGAATTGAACAACACCGTGGGGAAGAACAGGAATAACCGCAACTGTCTGAAAATCGAAAAAAAGAGAGGCAAAATTAGTTATTTTTTTTAAATCGAAAAAACACAGTAACGAACAAACAAGACGTGTCGGTTTTTTTACCTGCATACCAGCTGAAAACTGTTGGCACACCTCTTTAAGAACCTGGAAAATTCTCGGCATTATTTCGATCCATAACCGAAACCAAGAATTATTTCATTAAAATATTCCAATATTAAATAATATATTATACCTCTGGTGGATGAGCTTCTCCGAAACAGTTATCTGATACGATCCACTGATGGTTTCCGGTAAACGCAACTCTTCCAACTAATCTGCGGAAAATTACACGAACAACTTATGTTACAAAAAAAAGGAAGGCAACTTCTAATGATTTCAGGTAAAAATAAGAATTACTGAGGTTGAATTAAAGTGATGATTTACCCTTCTCCTACGATATTAACTTGATTATCCATCATCATCTTGTTTACAAGCAAATGCACCTTGTCCCCTCCCCTTGGCCAAGAAGCACTGTAATCTTGAAAAGAACCTTCTAGATTCTCGCTTCCCGAAATTCCCGGAAGCCCGGAACAACTTGCAGGTTCGTAGTAACATTCTTCCCAAATTAAAAGCCTGCAATTAAAAATAATTAAAAAATCGGTACCAACGCTAAATCGAATCAAAATTAAGTAAAACAGAGATCAAGTCATAATAGCATAGAGGGTTTCATTACATTATTAAAAAAAAAAATCATAATAGCACTGAGATTCTCCAAGAAAAATTGAATTTGACAAACCAGAAAACTCCAAAATTCGAGACAACGAAAGTTTTTACAATTATCAGATCACAAGATAAAAAATTAAAAAAAAGACAACCCAATCCAATAAATCTTTAACATGTCAAATCATATCAATAAATTAGGCAACTTTAACCTTGTACTAACAAATAATTAAGGATCAAATGCTCATCTTCTTGTTCCAATTAATACAAGCAAATTAAACTGGAGCAAAACCACACACATCGAACCTGCA